TGGCTACTACAAATCTGATGGTGCATGTTCAATCCTTGACAGCGTAAGGACTGTTTGCAATTTACATTGTCACGAAATGTTGCGCAAGCAGACTAGACTTCCTAGATGCATCATGGTCATGCTTCGATTCAAATCGAGTCGTGGTTCAAGTATCCCATTATTGGAATGATGCGTGCCTCTATCCTCCTATTGATGCGTGTCAACACGATACCAAACGCGCTCCACCATCCTCTATTGGATACATATTCTTCTCTTGCTTGATGAGTTTGTCACCCATTAGTGCAAGGCTAATCCAGGCCCCTAATTAGGAATGGAGGGTCAAAATGACCAATTTACCCCGGGTTGACTTTCATCAATTTTCTCAAAATTTCATTTTTTTTAATAAATATTTTCTAAACATTATAAGACCCTCAATAAAATCTTAGAATTTCAAGTTTTAAAAGGAAAAATCTAATTTTCAATTTCTCGTCGGAGCTCGGATGTTACTACCGTGCACTAGATAGTTGTCTACATTTACGTCATAAGTCAATTGTTAGGGTGATTTAGTAGCATTTTTCATCTTTAAACTTCGATAGATTGATGATTTCTTTCTTATATCTAATATGTTTTTACCATGTTGGTGAAGTTAATCAACATTTAAACCCATAACAAATTTTAATATATAATGTTCCTAAATAGTTTTCTACCCATAGAAAACACGACATACACGTAGTAGCTATGTTATTTTAGAAGAAAAATAGAGTCGTTGCAATGATATTCATACATAGTTTGTTCAACTTAATATAATTTCGTGTTTGTCACGTATCCCTTAAATGTGAGTGTTTCCAATAACGAGGAAAACATGAAAGCTCGTTGCTTAAATTAAAGTATTTATATTTTATAGATGTAAATAAACTCTATAGTTAAAAATATATATTATTTCAAACTGTCTCGTCGTCTTTTTCTATGTTTATTAGGTAAAATTGAAACTTTAAATCAAAATCGAGAAATGACATATTTAAAGATAAAATTATATGATTAGCACGTTCTTTTATTATTCATACAAGGAACCCTTTCAACCGTCCATATAATTAAACTTTCAAACATGTTATTAACTACGAAAGAATTTTGAAGTTAAACAAAAAAGAAATTGAAAGTTGAAGACTCTCTTGAATAGAAAATTAAAATTCGTAGTAACTCGTAGTAACTTGGTGTGTACACAGGTTAAGTCGCTTAAAATTTCAGGTTGGTTGCATTAGTGATCCAACCAATCCGAACAAAGTTTACAATCCAATCCGACCAACCCAACCCACCTCTCTATTATTTTCAGGTTGAGTTGAGTTGTCAAGTTGTTTTTTTAATTATTTAAAACATCCTACTATCTCCCGCACATGTTACATTAATAATTAAAATCGAATTAAATTCAAATATCAAATATTCACAAGTCACAATTTATCACTAATATTGATGGTAAATGTAAAATGTAATTTTAATAATAATCTTAAAAGAAGGATTGAATTGTAACCCTATTTTCGACCCAACCAAGAAAATGTCAACTCACAAATAAACGCGAGTTTTCAATTTTCTAAACTTTTATAGCTTAAAGTGAGTAGGTCGAGTATGGATATCTCTAGAAGAAGGGGTTAGTTGAGGGTAAAAATAGATGAACCAATGAATTTGAGGCGTGAAAATAGTAAAAACATGAAAAATGACAAAGGAGTGGTGGGCCAATTTTACAGCGTAAAAGAAGGGAGGACTTCAATTATTTTCACGCCATTGTCAATTTTCTCCCCCCACATTCATAACAATGCGTTCCACGTGGCAGTGGCAGTAGAGATTCATTGTATTCACCGGGTCAAACCACGCGCTTTTCACCTTCTCCATTCAAGTTGCGGGAAGATTCTTTATTTTTAAAATTAACAATATTCAAATTTATTAAATCAACTATACTAAAGAACCTCAAAAATATATGTACTTAATTATATTGAAATAACATAAATATATGTTATTTTATTTTTAATTTAATCATTTTAAAATAACATATAGAATCTATTTTATTTTTAATTTTTGCTTTTTATGTAATTTTATAGTTTAAATATTTTAAGTTCAACTTTACGTGTTCTAACTTCACCTATGATATTTGGTTCATACAAAAAAATCAAATTTAGAATCTCTTTGTGGAGCCCAACGTATCTTAAGTTTCCTAACTCACTCCTATATGGAGATAAATATTATTAAATGCCCAAAACAACAACTATATTGTCCAAATGGTTGAATGAAGCCAAATAATAGCTTAGTCGAAGTGAAGCAGCCAAGCTGAGGGAAAGTCGTCTAGAGCAAAATAATAGCTTACGACGTGGACGAGCTATACAGTTGGAGACAACTCGATCAACTCAACATATGTTGAGGACAACTAAGGCCTTGGCGGGATTGAAGCTCATAGGTTGCGTGTGCTAGTCATGAGCCTCGCATCACATGAGTCACTATACGATGGCGTGAGCAAAAGAATCTTCATGGATGATTGGATCGTGAAGTAAGATGGTGTTGGAAATGAACCCTTCATTCATGCACGGAGCAGAAACATTAAAATCAGCTTTAATTTTATTTAAAATTAGACAAAAAAAAAAAAAAAAAAAAAAACCCC